ATATGTCTCACCCACACAGCTCTTCCTCAGCATGTCTCACCCACACAGGTCTTCCTCAGCACAAGTTACTGTATATAAGACGTTGTCTAAATTAGTCAAGAAAGGGATGCTATACATTGGCAAAAAAAAAACCAGACAAGATTTGTATCTAAAAAGAAATTTTATTGCTGTCTGTGCAGAGATTTCACATGCATTCAACGCAGACAAGCACAATAGTTATAAAAAAAAACAAAAAAAAAACCCTCATCCCCTGTTCATGTTTATTAATAGATCACAGAGCCCTGGAACATGGATGCTTGTGTTTTTGGCAGTCTAAAGGGTTAACGGACCACCTTTTGCCACAGAAAAGAGGCAGGATTTAGAGAGTAAACGAAAAGAAAAACTTAAACAGCTAGGTTCATGTACAGATGAAATGCAGGCGATGTCCTGCCACTCATCTACTCATTAAGGTGAAAACTTTAGCCCTTGCAAAAGGGATACCTTGTGGAACCCCACTGAATCATTGCACTGAAATATGACCAGTCATTTTATCGAAAACATATTCCAGGGAAAGAGCATTTGGGCATTTGACAGTCTTTCGTCCGTGGATAATCCTATCACCAACAGTAAAATGGAGTTTTAAATGAAGATTACATACAAACCACTTCTCTGCTGGGCACACTAGTGTACAAGTTTCAAAAACAAAACATCTGGACAATGCACCAGATAGAAGTTTCCATAATCATACTGATATTCCAGCATGACCGGCGAACACTAGCCCCATTAGTGCATTGCGTCTCTGGAGAGAGAAACACATGTGTACATGTTTAGGTATGGGTGTTTGTGTGCTCCTGTGCTGTGTATCCCACTGCCCATTCCTTCCCAGTATGTCTGATCAGTCTCCGGTGACCTGTGTGGCTGTTCCATCAGATGTTTGGCCGCTTGACTGGATGAACAAGGGCTGTGAGAGGTCCTGTCCGGCTGGCATGGTAACTTGCTGAATCTGGTATAATTGCTAGAAGAGAAGAGAAGTTTTTAATAAAATGCAAGAAAGAAGGTTTAAGCTGTAATTTAATATACTTAAACATTTACCTGTCCATCAGTGAACTGACTGAACTGTTGCTGGCCTTGCTGGAGATCTGCTTGTGAAATCTGGGAGAAAAGAAAAAATCACTAGGAAGGACTTCACATTTCTTCTTCAGTGCTACTTCTATTATTCCTTTATCTCTTATCTATTGCAGTGGCTAAGGGACTGAAAAACAGAGTAACAAACACTAATACACACCAGCCAAGATGATAAAAGAAAAAATACTCTCCTGAGCTTGGGCACATGATGTCCCACTCTTGGTCATTCTCTGTCAACTATATATAGGCATACTTTACTTTAAGTCCCCTTAAAGTAAAGTATGCCTATACTGTAAATAGAGAATGACCAAGAGTGCGACATCATGTGCCCAACCCCAAGCTCAGGAGAGTATTTTTTCTTTTATCATCTTGGCTGGTGTGTATTAGTGTTTGCACAGGAATTCCAAGTTACATAATTTCTACATCACCCTCTGGGAAGAAGCTACATGAACTGGATTCTCAGACTATCATCTTAAATTATGTTCAACAGGAGTAACATTTGCATGATCAAGCCATGACTTTTCCACCCAATAACTAATGATAATCACTACCTAATCTGGACAATACTGATCACAAACATTATTGCATGTCTATAGGCGTCCAATCAACAGAAGCCCTCAAAGGAAGAATTGTATCAATTGCTAAAGGTTTCTGAGCAAACTGTCACCATTCCATTGTGAAAACATTGATGCAATGATTACCCAGAAGCATGAACATGGTGAGCTTCTGCGTGTTAGCTATGGCTTTTAGCTAAATTGAATAATGTTATCTCATCAATCATCTAGGTCCAAAATGGGTATGGGACTAGCCGCTTGAGAAAGACAGCTAATTTCACGGGACACATGGAGCTTTGGTTGAAAAGAAGTCTAATGCTTTAGCTATTTAGGTCTAGGACGGCCATAATGGATATCAAACCTGCCATGTATTTAATAAGATTCAAAGGTCCGACAAGAAATCACACTAACTCTGTGCCGATTTGAGAGATTCTCTCTCCTCTGACAGAATTAATGTTTGCTTCTTGAAATTTTACAGAGATCTTTCATTTGGTGATGACTTTCATGCTGCAATTTTCAAATATTTGAAATGAAAAACACTTTTGTCCCCACTTACCAACACCAAGAATACAAATTAGGCTTAGACATATTTAAAAAAGGAGATATATGAGGCGAGTGATTTCCACTCAGCCTCATAGTTAGAGCCGACCTGTGACAAAGAAACTGTCACACGTTGGCTCTATCGATCAGGAAGTAAGCAGAAACATGCACGATCTGCTCACTTCTCGATCGTCTCCCTGCAGAGAGCAGTGACTGTCAGTGACTGCTCCCCAAAAGGGATTCCCCCACTCCCCTCACCAATCCTCCAGCGCTGAGTGGAGGAACGGATAGGGGAGGGGGCGGGCACAGTGGGCTCCACCTCTAGATAGGCAGAGCATGCTGTAACTCACGCAGCTGGGCGGATCTCGACAGTAATGTCAAGATCTGTCCTGGCTGCGATGCTTACAGTATATTGCAGGCAATAGCCCGCGATATACTGAGCTTTGGGTCACGGGAGGACACTAGTATATGTATTCTTGTGACCCTTAAGATAACTATGGGGAAAAACAAACACTTACCCCATAGTTCTCTTTTAAGGTTATTAACCTTTAAGAAACAAGACTGTGATAACATGTCCACCAGCTCACGGACCATGAAGATGAAGAAAATACTATTGTGAACACTTGAAATAAAATTACCTGCTGAGCATTGGCTGTCAAGGTCTGGAGTTGTCCTTGCACCACCTGCGTTCCAGATACAGGCTGTGCAAGCCGTATGTACTGAAGCTGTCCTGTGTTAAGCTGGACCTAGAAACAAACAAAAACACACAAACCCAAATATAAACACTAGCTCTTACAAAATATGGGATAATGGCATGCATTTTACACAGTACTGGCTGTCCCCGGGTTACATACAAGTTAGGGACTTTAGGTTCGTACTTAAGTTGAATTTGTATGCAAGTCGGAACTCCGAGCAAAAAAAAATATTTTTTCATTTTGGATAGCATAGGGAAGGGTCACGTTTGTTTTGCCGTCTGTTCCCCTTGTTCAGAAGATAATAAATAAAATGTTTTATTTGAAATGACACCAAAAAAAAGTTAAAATTTTTAATTTTATAAACTGTAAAAAAAAAAAAAAAATGTATTTGTTTGCATTTTACATTTTTATTTATTTCACTTTTTAAAAAAAGTGTTTTTTGTCTTTTTAATTCATTTTTTAAAATATTTTTAAACTTTTTTTTATTATTTTAATGCTGGGAGCCATACCCAGCCTGCTATAACTGAATGCAGCGGTCTGTGTCCCCGCCAACACAGGCGCGGAGAGCAGCGGGAACACAGGCCACTGCAGCCACAGTTCTCCTAAATGTACCGGCGGCTGCCGGTAAATTTAGGAGAACTGTGGACCCCGTCCATAAGTACGGATTGTCCATAAGTCGGATGTTTGTAACCAGGGGACTGCCTGTAGTCTAATAAACTAAGTGCCAACCGGCTAGCAGACTGAAACTGGCCACACAAAATTATGTGATTGTGCAACCTCCTATAGATTTACCAACAACTATGTAGTGTGAGGGCCTAAGGAATCCATTCTGTTTAAGTGCAATCTGGTAAGCCCTCACACTATATAAATGTTGGTAAATCTATTATAGGAGGTTCCAAACTCATGTAGTAAGGTGTATCCTTGATACGGAAGAAACAAATTTAGAGGATGACTTGCACTTAGATATCCAGACCAAAAGATCACTATAGTTTAAATGAACTTGAAGGTGTCAAACATGGAGGATGAAGAGAATCCAGGTCTTGCGGCACATTAATCAAAGGACAGAGACAGGCCATAACTATGTGCAGAAACAAGAACAAAACCCTGAGCGCACAGACCTGGTGCATTAAACTTAGTTGACTTATAACGTGATAAAAATATTATTGCAATCACAAGTGTCACACATATACAGCATTGGAGCAAGGATCTCAAACACAGCCCTCCCTGGCCACTGGAAAGGCTGCATGCCAGAGCTATTCTAGCTTTAAAGTCCAATGTTTAAGCTTTGTAAGTGCTTAGCATTTATTGTGGTAATGAAGAGGTGCAGTGATGATGTATATGTGTGTGCACATCACTCACATTGCAGGCTTTCTTCATTTTTTAAATAAGGGTTTTATTAGGCCTGAATCCTACAAATACAAAACTTTCTCCACAGGAAACTCAGTCTGACACCGTGGTGTCAGACTGTAACCTGCTGCCCCCTCCGTCACCCATTGTAGCATGATCAGTAAACAGCCCTGCCTTTACAGGCAATACACTGTCCAGGATGGGAGGAAAGCTATACACACACACACATTGCTTGACAGCAATTTCCACAAGGATATATAAGAGGCAAGCCAAAAAAAAAATGCAAGTTTCTGTTTTCATATACATCAACTGCATATGCCGGCTTCATGTACTCTCGGTGTACATTGCTGGAATAGGTTTTGTTAAACTTCTGCAAAGGTGGAAATGGGCTTTAAAATCACAGAACGGTTGTCATATCCCAAATGCATCTCCACTAGCTGTTAAAAGCATATTAGGCAAATATAAAAATCTACAAATTAAAAACATCTGAAATGTGTAACATTATACATGAACTAGTTTTAGTATAACAAATGTACAGTTGTCCATTGATTCGCAGAGCAGTTTACATTTTGCAGATTACTCAATATCGTTCATACTCTAGTGATATGCAAATGAATGCTATCAATTTTCCTTGTGTGTGATTAAAAAAAAAAATGTGATATACCCAGAAATGTATGTCCTACAGTATGGATCAATTAATGACTTTTGACCTGGTTAAGTTGCACCAGCCAGGTTTACACGTTAAAAACCTGCTGTTACAGTACCCAAAAGACAGAGGATCATCACCCAATGATGATGTTTATGAAATGGTCATCTGTCTAATGGCCAGACCAGACTTATGCAGACACCCACAGTTCAATAGATCTTGAGGAATTATTAGACATTTTCCCAGGTAATTGCTGATGTTCCTCACAGATGAATGCATGTGTGAAAAGTGTCTGCATAAATATGTATGTGAATCCAGTGCAATTATGTAGGCTTATGCCAACTTCACTTTACAGAAAGAATGCATAGGTCATATCTTTCCATCATCCTACGTCTAAGAGTACACCTTTAACCTGGCTGTATGCAGCTGCCCAACATGATACGTACTGGAATCTGCTGGATCTCTCCTGTGTTGGTGATTATTTGCTGCATAACCTGCATAGTCTGTCCTGTTGCATTTTGCCCCTGCTGCGACTGTCCCTGTGGTTGGGCCTGGAGAATCTGGACCTGCTGTCCTTCTCCTACTTGCATCGTTACTGGCGTATTCTGCACAAGAAATAAAAAAAAATTGAAATCAGTAACTGCAACTTAACAATACGAGCAAAAAACACTTAACACAGCCTACACAAAAGTGAACTTATAAGAAACAAATTCCATACGAATTGGCATGAAAACATGCTTGCGCATACCTAAATATTGGGACATCTCCTACCAATTTAGAAGTGACTGCATTGTGATAAGTTGTTCAATATTAAAAGGCTCTTTGGAGGAGGTTTTTTTACCAAAAAGGCAGAAAAGTTCTAACACCACTCTTTATTGCATTGCTAAAGGCAACTACCTTCCATCTAGTTATTGCTTTGCCAAAAAAAAAAAAAAAATGCTCCCCATGCCTCCTGAATCATGGCAGGCGTCTTCTTTATTTAACAACCAATCAGGGTTTAATTTTGGAGAGCAAAGCTTCCCTTGTCTTCTTCTTGCATTAAGTATTAATGCCCTGGAGACTCAAAAGTACTAACACAGAATGTATTCATTTTGTAGCTAGTAATGCGAAATACAGATATAGTAATGATTAAAAGGAGAACAGATGGGACATGCTGCATGTGCATCCCTTTTTACATTGAGTGAACCCATCCTTGGTCTCCTGAAGAACTTACAAGATGCTAAACAGCACAGCGGTTTTTGTGTGATTTTCGCAGCTTTGGGCAATTTGTGTATTAGCCTGATTAGGAATGCTCCATTTTTACTCACATTTTGAGCACAGCCAGAAAGTTGGAAAACAATCAAAATTCAATAGCAGTCAAAATGTATCTAGTCCACTGCAAATATATTGTAACCAAAGTGTTTCTGGAATTTAGAGGGTAAAGCCACTTTTTACTTGAACATATAGTTCCCATTGGCCAGTTTAGGGCTTACAATAGGGATGCAAAGCTTATCTGCAGATGTAGGGATCTCAGATTATGTAACATAAAAATCTGCCTTTCTTTTGTAGCAAATACATAGTAACCAAGCCAAGGAAAACTAAGGGGGTTATTCACTAAAGAGCCGAAGGATCCAGCCGTAGCTTCAGCTAATCCTTCGACCGCCTCTGCCCTTCGGTTCAGTTGAACCGAAGGGCTTCTGTAGGGCTATTCACAACTATTCATAGCATGTTCGGCTGACTGAAATCAGCCGTAGTGAGCCAGAGTGAATAGCCAAACATCGTTCGGCTCACCTCACTTCGGCTGGGTTATTCACTCGGCAGCTTTGTGAATAACCCGGTCAGTTATATATTATAAAGTGTAAAATAATCCACCCTTGGGAGCAGATAGCCACTGTTTTATTTAAGGTTTCCCCATGTGAACAAAACACAGTAGGTCAAACATCCAAGTGTGAAATGTCTGACTACAGTCATGCAAACAAGATTAGAAAAGCCATTTCAGAAGCAAAGTGTGTTTATGGTTGGCTGACCTGCCCTTGTTGAGGCTGAGCAATTATAATCTGCCCAGGCTGCAGGGTAGTTGTAGAGGATGAATTCTGTTGACCAGTTTGTCCTTGTACTTGCACAGCTGCAGGTTGCTGGGCCAGAGTAAAGTAGTACTGGACGGGTTCTGCTGGCGTGACTGCTTGCCGGACTTCTTCCTAAATAATTGTGCAAAGGGAAACTTAAAGTACAGTAACAGCAATTCAGTCACAGTGTATTTAAATGGCAAAAACCAATACAGTACATGTACTGCATATCTAACGCAATAGCACGTGTATTAGAACAGTCAATGTTGTTTTATAATCCTAAAGTGACCTAATTCACCCTATTTGAGATCTCGGTATCTGTTGGAGGCTAGATTATCACCCTAGGGAGACAAAAGGAATAATTTATGTGCTGGGATTCCCACCTTCCTGGACAGACGTCCCTTTAAGTTCTCAATGTACACCTCAAGGTGTTGCTCATCTTACCTATCCCAGAGCTTATGCAAACCCTGTGTTTTCTGTCACCATTCTGTATATATTCACACTAAAATGTGTAATAGATGTCCTCAAGTTATGTTTTTTTAACCAAATTTACTGCTGTCCCTGGTGAGACACAAGGCAGAGTTGGAGGATTAACTAATCAAGAGATACTTGTCAGATGCTTTTAGACACAGCATCTGTTTTTCATGCAGGCTTAATGATAAATGCCTCGGCAACAAGCAGGCAAGTTAAACATTTCACAAAGTACTGTTAATTTGAAATTAAAAAAGGAGAGTGAAGGAATTCTGGTTTATTTGCAATAGATGCTCTGTATTTCCAGGACAGAAAATGTATTTCATTTTTGTGGGGAAAAACGTTCCTGAATGATCTTGTTTACATGGACATGCTGAGTCAACAATAATTTAAAAATGTGCATGCAGTATTGTCCGTTTCAGAATGAGCACATATTTCCCAGTACATCTACTGTGAATAAAGCCTATATAAATAAAACAAGTGTATTCAATAACAAACTGATTTTATGTACCAAGCAAAAGTGTTGTGTTCTTTTTTTCAGATTTTAACAAACCCGTCAGCAGCTTTCATTTTTATTTCACTAGAGCTTCTGTAAGATCAAAATCCAAACAGCAGAAATGAATGAGATTTATAACTGGTTCTTAAACATGGAAAACCACAAACCCAAGTTTTTAACCACAACAGAATTGTAAAAGGTAACAAAGATATTTTAATATGTTAAAAACCATGTTAGTTATAAATCCACAGACAGAAAATCTCA